GCGGGCTCGTCGACCTGATGACGGCCACCACAGCGTGCTTCAGCGACGCTGCGTTCGCCAACGTGGACGGGGTCAGGAGCCTGTGGGGCATGGTGATGGGGTCACTCACCGCCCGCGCGATGTCGTCGGCGGCCGCTGCGACTTTTGCCTACCCGTGGCCTGGCACTCGGGCGCGGTCAAGAGGTCGGTGAAGACGACCCTCGCTGCCGAGGGCTACGCGACACTCGAGGGATCGGAGACCAACATCTGGTCCCGCCAGCTGCTGACCGAGGCCTACAACCCCAAGACGGCGCTGGCTCAAGCAGATCGACGTACTCGCCGACAAGCGCCCTGGGGAGATCTACAGCGACAGCAAGGGTTTCGTGACGCACATCGCTTCTGATGTGGGCCAGTCTAGCGACAAGCGGTTCCGCATCGTCGCCTCCATGATCAAGGAGGCCGTGCAACCCAACAGTGCATTCAAGCCCTGCTGGATCCCGACCTGGGCCATGGTCGCGGACGCCTTGACTAAGGCGGTGGAAGCCGGCGCCCTGCTGGCCTTCTTCGGGGCCCGCAAGCACAGCTACGGGACCCGGCAGTCGCATGCCGCCATGCTCGCCTCCGTGCTGCTTGCCTGTCTCGGCGAGGTCAAGGGACAGCCTACGCCTGCGCCGACGGTGCCGGACTACAGCTTCTACATATGCCTGGTGACGCTCACGCTGTTCCTCGGCATGGCTATCGGCTTCGGCATCTTCATGACGCTCTTGACGATCATGAGGCAGAACAACATGATCGTCACCGAGGAGAACGTCGCCGAGGCGAAGGCAATGGGCGAGCATCCCGGCTGGGACGGCCGCATGATTGGCCGGCGCCGTAATATTGCAGCTACCATCCCCGAGGATCGCGACCACGACGGCGACATCACGATGCACCCCTCGGATGGACACAGCAGCGCGCAGGCATCGAGTTCAGCAGCATCGGCTTCAGGCGTCTCTTTCAGACACCACACATCGCAGCTGCCGATGCCAGCACCACCGCCTGCGATTCACCAGCCACCGCTGCCGCCAGCACCACCGCCTGCCAGCGCCCCACCTACCGCAACATCAGCACGATCGAGGTCAGCGAGATCTGGGAGTGCGGGTTCAGCCCCTACCTCACAAAGCATAGTCACCGTATCGAGTTCATGGAGTCCAGTATCTGTGCGCGTGGTTCCGTGGAACGGTTCCGCACCGACGGCGTCGTCGAACGAGATGCTCAACTGCGTGACCGCCGTCCCGCGCCATGATTTCATAATCGGGCATAACCCCCATAGCGTCTACATTACCTGCAGGACCTGCAAGAAGCACTCGCCATGGCTTCTCCAGTTCTTCAGGAGCAGCAGTCCCGATTTCACGAACTTCCCCGAAGGCGCGATGCATGATCTCATGGGCCGTTGGAGGAGGCTCACCGGCGACCCCGCTTACGTAAGTCTGCATTGCCGCTCAGGTTTCGCACCCGGCAAACATATTTTTCACGTAAATCCGCAAGTATAAAAGGTTCACTCAGTATGCACACGTTTTTTGTTGCATAGATGTGATGACGATCGCACCCATTCAGATCTTATCCAAATAAGATAGCTATTTTGAGCTCTGTCGCTTCGCGATCGAAAACCTTCTGTTGCTAGCCTTGCCTGGTTTTGGTTATAGCGCAGGTGGCGCTGAAAGCTGAGTATATCCTGCAGGTCGCGTGTAGCGCAACCGCTTAAGTGCCCCGAGGGCTGCCTGCAATGCAAGCCGTGTCGAGCCGTTTGCTCGCCTTCTGCCAGCACGCCTGGCGCTCCGCTTAATGAAGATAGCGCCAGGCTTATCTGCCCGGCTGCTCTGGCGCCTCGTGCGCCCGCCCGGCGCCGCTTGAGCATCGTGCAGGAGGTGTGTGATTCCAGAAGATTCGCTGTTCCTCTCACTCGCCCTCTGCCGCTGCTGCTCAGCTCTCCAGGGTCTCTCTGCCGCCGCGCATTTGGCTCTCATAATTTTCCAGGGCCCTTGGCTAATTGAGCTACGTCCTCTGCCGCGCAGAGCGAGAGAAGAGCATGCTCAGCGATAATATTCCATATCGCACCATCAACGCATGGGCCGTTGAGAAAGCAAGGGGAACTCGGGTATGCACTCCAGTGGGGCACTCGCGTCGTGGATGAATGCCCTCCCGGCGTATGTCTCCGAGTTGGGCGCAGAATTTCACAGACCATCCAAAGTGCCACTGCTAATTCGTGGACTGCGGTCGCCATGCCTCTTGCTGCCAGGAAGCCATGTGGTTGATGCGGCCAGCCTGGGTGAGACTTGGATGCGCATGAGGCCGCCGGTCTCTTCAGCGGCAAACCATTTCTATAGCGGAGGGCGCCAACCGTCCACATGCGTATCCTGCGTGCGGCCCTCACGTGTTCCACACGTTTGTCCAGCCGTGTGTGTGTGTGTGTGTGTGTGTGTGTGTGTGTGTGTGTGTGTGTGTGTGTGTGTGTGTGTGTGTGTGTGTGTGTGTGTGTGTGTGTGTGTGTGTGTGTGTGTGTGTGTGTGTGTGTGTGTGTGTGTGTGTGTGTGTGTGTGTGTGTGTGTGTGTGTGTGTGTGTGTGTGTGTGTGCGTGCGTGCGTGCGTGCGTGCGTGCGTGCGTGTGTGTGTGTGTGTGTTTGTGTGTGTGCGCGCATTTCCATAGCGTGGCTTCCTGTGGCAAGGCCCTGCGCCACCCTGGTGGCTGCCGAGGGCCTGCCGCGCACTCGCACTGACGCTGCCTGACCTCGCCGCGCGCGCAGCAACGCGGCGAGGTCAGGCAGCGTCAGGGCGAGCTTCTGCTTCCCGTGTCCTGGTCAGCTCGTCCTCGATTTTCTCCCCCCCCCACCAACCCCCTCCTCTGGCGGCGGCAGGCCGCGGCGGCCCTCCGCGCCGCGGACGAGGAGCCAGGGGCATCAGCGGCCCGCGCGCGTTAGGCGCGGTTAGTTCACTCGATCGTTGCGCCCTGGACGACGAGGCGACAGAGGCGTCCGCTGGGTGATCGGCAGCGGGGGTGGCAGTGATCACGAGCCGCGAACATATCCGTACCCGCGCCCTCGCGGTCCAGGTTTCAGGGCGCGATCACGCGGATACGCGGTCGCACGGGTGCGTTCCGCGCGGGGCATCCGCGAAAATACGCCCCGTATTCGCGGGGTCGCGGCCCAGTGGCCTGACCCGCGAGGCAGCGGATATGGATATGTCTGTTGCCCACGTCCGGGAGGTTTCGGCGTCGTCGGCGGCATCGGCGTCGGTGCGGAAGTCGTCGGCGGCGTCGGCGTCGGCGTGAACGTCGCCGGCGTCGGCATGGGCGGCCTGCGCGGCGAGAGGGCACGATATTGAGTGGGCGACCAAGACGACGAGGCGGCAGAGGTCTGAAAGCCCTTCGAGAGACCTGGAGGGCCCAAGATGGCCACCACGAGGCCCCCAGATCGCTCCCACAGGGCCCCACGGAGCGCCACGGTGGGATAACGCAGCCACACGGCTGGCAGCCCCGAGCCCTCGAGGTGCCCCCCACCCCCAGGCGGAGGCGGGGGGGGATGGGAGGGGCGCGCCCGTGCGAGCGGAGAACCGACCCGGGTGAGCTGGCCCGTAGGCTCCTCGAAGTGCACCCAGAGTTTCGAAGAAGAAGAAACGCCATAAACACAAATTGATGGCGCTCCGCGCGGAGCGCCTAGAGTGTGCGTTTATGGCGTCTTTTCTTCTGCTAGAGTTGGAAGCCGAGGCCAGCGCAGGGGTGCACAGAGCGGGGAATGGCCTACCCTGCAGGTTCGGTCAAGAGCACGTCGCTGAGCGGTGCCAGGAGGGCGAGCAGAGGTTTGGCCAGTTGGGCTGCATCGGAGTCGATTGCGGGCGGTCAGTTCGGTATCGGGTCGGCCGTCGTGTCGCTGCCACATCGCAGGCTGCCCTTCCAGGCCGCCTGTGGCCTGTGCGGCTTCGGCGTCGTTTTCGGGTTCTCTCGGAGGCTGTGCGGCCGCGCAGAGCGAAGATCGAGTCGAAGAAGCAGGTCGACCTGGATACCTCGCATCAAAAGGGACACTGCATCGACGAAAGAAAACAGCATAATCATGTTGGCCTGCATGTGCCCCAAACAATGGGTTATTGCATCGTGGAGGTGAAAGCTCTACGGCGTGAGCCATGTGGTGTGAGCTTTGAAGGTGTGAGCTATGAAGCTGTGCGGTGTAAGCTATGTGGCATGAGCTATGAGTTGTAAACTCTGTGTTTTACGTATGTTGTGTTGTGCAAGTTTTGCGGTGTGAGCCCAGTGGTGTTAGCTATGCGGTCCAAGCTATTTGGTGTAAGTTTTGTTGTGTAGGCCATTCGGTGCAAGCCACGGTGTGCAAGCTGTGTGGTGTAGGCTATGGGGTTTGAGCCATGGGGCGTAAGCTACATATGTGGTGGTGACTATGTGGTCTTAGCCACGAGGCGCCCACGAGCGGGCCCGCGTCGCCTGGGGCGCCTGGGAAACCCACACGGCGCATGGGCGCCCGCGTGGTGCCGACGGGCGGACACGAGGCGCCCACGAGCCGCCCGATTGCTTGGCAGGTCAAGTAAGAGCCCCGAGGTGCCAGCACGGACCTGGCAAAAAGTTCGCGCCTGTGCCAGTAGTCCACCCTCTATATATAGCAGAAGGTGCGCTCCAGAGAGTTCTTGGCCTTCGGCAACCCTCGCCCTCGGCGGAAGCCAGCGGACTGGCGGATGAGGTACATCAGCTGCCGGGCCCGCCGGCGGCAGGCGGCGGGGCGGCGGAAGTGGCAGTGATCGGAGCTGTGCCGGAAGGTTTCGTTGGACAAGGCTGGCTTCGCTAGACCTGAGGCACCCGGAGCCCGACCTGAGGCCCCCCAGCTCGGCCTGAGGCGCCCCAGCAGCCGTCGAAAGAAGCCTTCTTGAGCCAGTCCTTCTCGCCGTTCTCGAAGGGAGACGACGTCATTTTGGAGTTCCAGGGTTGCCAGAAGCAGCCTTGTCAGCACACGCGGCAGGAGGTCGTCCTCAAGATCCGGGCCATGGTCCACGAGCGCAAGTTGCGTGTCCACGGCATCTTCACCGACTTCGACCCCCTTCGCCGGGGGTTCTGCTCCATGTCGCACGTCAGGACCTTCATTGAATCAGGAGGAGTGGGAGTGCCGAGGCCCAGCCAAGGGATCCAGACTGGGAGGAGGGGGAGGCGGATGGGGAAGGGCGTGACGGTTGTTCGAGCTGAGACTCATTCTCCTCTCCTCTCTGCCCCTGGGGCTGGCAGGCAAGTCCTATCCCCCATGGTGGAGCGCGCATTGGTTTCGCGCGGAACGGTTCTTCACCGCTGAACAGCGTGCGACATCAAAAGCAAATAATCGTAGTGGTCTCAGATCCGCTTGCGCTGCCCCCCCCCCGCAAGGCAGACCTCGCCATGAAGAAAGCGGTTCCTGAGGGAAGCGTGATCTGCGTTGTTTCGCACTTCTCTTGCTCGTGGGGCCCTCCTCGGGCCCTGGGGGCTGTCACAACAAAAGACTCGGGGTGAAGAGCTGGTCCCGGCGAAAAGCCCGGGGGTCCGGGTCCATGTCCCTCAGAGGCCCGCTCACGCACTGCTCCTCCCCACCCTTTCTTCTCGAGGAAGAGGACAAGGAGGCGGAGGAGGAGGAGGAGGAGGAGGGCAACGTCACGCTCAGGTTGGTCTAATGTTAAAGGGGGGAGGGAGGGGAGGGACACGTGCTGGCCAGCCCGCGCACTGCTCCGATCTGCTCCGCCCCGTCCTCTTTCTTTGAGGGCGCGCGCTGCGCCGCTCCCCCCCTGACCTGCGGTCACTGCCGTCCCGCCTAGGCCGCGGAAGGAGTGGCGCGAGGGGGGCGGTCTCCCGAGAAGGCGGGAGGGCCTCGTCGAAGCAGGAGGCACGCTGACAAGGCCTTGGAGGCTTCCCAGAGGCCCTCGCAGAAGCCGCCTGGGGGCCTCCTGAGATCCCGCCCTCCTCGGTTGGTTTCTGGCCGCCTGAGGTGTCGACACCCGCCTCTTCTTTCGGGGGCGGCCAAGAGGGGGGGGGCGGGGGGGGGGGGGATGACTATGGGGTGGGGTGGGAGGGGGGTGGGAGATCATGGCCCAGGCCACGATACCTCCCCTGGTCTCATGGCCCCTCTTCCCGTGTGCATGTTTCCCTTGGCACCCCCCCCGGGGGGCCGCGCACATGCCTCGGGCGACCCGCCCCGCCCCCCCCTGCTTGGATGCCCCCCTCTTGGCCGCCCCCGACGATCTGCCTCGCCGTCGGCGCACCGCGCCCCAGCACGCCCGGCTGTGCCCCCCCGCGCAGGCCTGTGTTCGTCGGCCCTCCCGCTCGGGGCCCTCGCGCTGCGCGCCTGGACGCCTCCTGGACGCCTCCTCGTCGCCCCGCGCGCCGACCGCCTGGGGAGTTGCACGCTCCCCCTCCTCGCTGCGCCTAGGCACGAAGGGCACGGGTGCCGAGGGAGGCGTGCCCCGCACCGCCTCGCAGTCTTCCTGCTCCTGGGGCCCTCCGCGGGCCCCGGGACTCGGACAACGAGTGGGGATGAGGAGCCGGTCCCGGGGGAAGGCCCCGAGGTCCAGCACCCGTTTCCCCTCGGGACCCTTTTTCTGTCGTGCCGACCTCTGAGCAGCCCGTCCTGCACGCTGGCCGGTTGGGGTCTCCTCCTGCTTTTGCTGGGTGCCATTCCTGTGTCGCGCCCCGTGGGTAGTGGACGAGTGGCAGTGGTGCCACTTCGCCGGTGAAGGAAGCAGTGTGAGAGTGGGCGCTCGGGCGGCCTGTAGCTAACAGCGATCTAGCGGATCCCCCCTGTCTTTGCAAGGCACGCTTCCAGCCCGACTTGGAGGCGTCCTTCCATGGTCACTTTCAACTATGGCGCCGCCCTCAACGCAGGCTGGCAATTCACATGGCGCCGCGTCACAAGGGCTCTGTATTGGAGCGGCGGCCATGGCCAACACGGGTCTCAGATAGCCCCCTTGTGCCACGGGGACAACCCACACGGGGTCACATCAGCCCCGCTGGACCCCGAGGGCTTCCCCCGAGGGCTCCCGAGCGGGGTCACGCAACATGCCCGCCAACACGGGTGTGTGTGTGACTGCCGGAAGTTGGCAACGCTACAAAATCGACGCGGCCACATGTTCGTTGCCCGTTCATGTGTGGATCGCGGCTGTGGTGCCACACCGCAGGCGCAGCTACGCGAGTGCCTGAGCGTGCGCGGTCAAGCGGCCCGCGGGGCGCAGTGACGAGAGACGGGAGGGAGTGGGCAGTCATTCAAGCAGTGGCGAGGCGTCTCGGTTTGCCTGAAGGCCCACCAAAGAATGTTCTAAGAACTTGTTGCGGCTTGCGCGAAATATTATGTGAACACGCCTGGCTGAGACCGTATTGATTCGATGCATCTGCTTCATGTTCTGAGAACGTTGCTTTGTTTTTGAAGCATTCTTGTGTTTAAGAAAATTTCGTGATAGGCCTACAGCAATGCCTGGACAGTCGGTCCCTGCTCAAGTCATGAGTTCAGGAGTTGTCGCGCCCTCGTCTGTTCGCTAGTGTTTCGAGTGACACCGGCGCCCCGGCGCCCCCGCCCAGCCCCGCCCGCGTAGGGCAATCCCCCGTGGAACGTCATTGCGCTCGCCTCGCCTCGCCTCGCCTCTTCTGCGCCCCACCCTCCTTCCAAGACGATGGCTGGAAAGAGCAGTATGAACTTGGAAGGAGACGATCGCTCTAGACCAGGCGAGCGGAACGCAGCAGACCCCACATCCCGAAGTCCAGGATCTTGAGGCGAGGAGAGGTTTGCTTGCCGTGCCTCCGATTCCTGAGCCGCAGGTTGGCCGGCCACCAAGTCAGAGCATTGAGGCAATGCCCGCGGTTGTCCTCTTGCATCCGGGCGCATCTGAGGCACATCGGATGCCCCCAGAGAGGGTTCGTTCTTCAGGCAGACCTGAGAGGAAGACGAGTCTCCCCAGACTGTTCCGGAACGCTCTCGGAGCGTCCTGGGCCCTCTGGACGGGCTGCGGCGCCCGATCCACCCTCCAGACCCGTGGGCTCTGAGAGGTTCCCTGTTTCACCCGATCCGAGTTCATCCTCGTGCTGCCTTCTGCCACAGCTCCCTGTTTGAATTCCATGGCGGCGCGCACAGTTCCTTCTGGACTCTGCTCTTCTTGGCTGGCCGACGAGATGGCGCGCGGACCATCGGTGAGCGATGGGTCGCCGCCGCTGCGCGCGGGCGGCGGCCGGTGGAGGACAGTCTGCACCTACCTGAACGTCCTCCTGGAGGAGCGCGCGCACCCCCGTGTGGCTCCCCCGATCCACCCCTCCGTCCCAGGCCTCCTCGCGTCGTGAAGCAAATCTCGACAGCCATTCGTTCGTTCATTCAGGCCTCTGGGGGCCCCAGCTGGGCCACGGTGCCGTCAAGAAGCGATTCAGGATGAGAAGCCGGTCCCTGGGAAGGGGTCTAGACCTTTGGGGTCCACGTTGTGAAACAATCACTATGTCAGGGATCTGGGATCCCTCGATCCTTTCCCATCCCCCTCCTCTTCCTCCAGCGTCGACGTGGACGGGCTGAGCGTCCTGAGTGGGCCCGCCGACGGCCGCTACCGTCGTGGAGCCCGCTCTGAGGCCCACCGCAGCTCCTCCTCCTCCTCCTCCTCCTCCTCCTCCTCCTCCTCCTCCTCCTCCTCCTCCTCCTCCTCCTCCTTCTCCTTCGCCTTCTCCTCCAAAACATCCCATCTGCTCCTTCTCCTCCTCCTCCTCCTCCTCCTCCTCCTCCTCCTCCTCTTCCTCCTCCTCCTCCTCCGATCACTGGCTGAGCATGGAATCTGTCTGCGTGCGTACAGGCATCCAACTGAGGCGCCCCAGCGCACCCGCCGTTCCCTACATGGGACGCCCCCCAGGCGACATTTTGTTTGTTTTGAGCTATGTGAAGCTGTACAACTCCGGACCTGCGAGCCGCGGCCCCTGACCCAGGCCGGAGCAGAAGTGAATGAAAACGGCGTGGCGTTGCCGCTCCTGGCCGCTTTCGCGGTGCCATGTGCGTCAGAAACACGACGGGCCAGGACGCCCTGTAACGAGGAGGAGGAGGAGGAGGAGGAGGAGGAGGAGGAACATTGAAGAAACTGGACAGGCGCAGGTGCGCGGCCCAACTCTCCAGCGCGCAGACTCGCGACGGCCTGGAAAAGAAAACAAAAAAATAAAAATTGTGCCGACAGATTTCCGTACAAATGGCCCGGCACGCAGGGAGGAGGAGGAGGAGGAGGAGGAGGAGGAGGAGGAGGGAAACGAGCAGCTGCACAGCCGCCGGGTGCTTTGAGCACCTGCACGCGGCCTCCGGGCCCAGGAGTGGAAGGGAGGGCGGCAGGCAGGCAAGGCAAGGGGGCAGACGAGCAGGCGGCGGGGGGCGGGGGGGCATGGCCGCGGGGTGTGAGCCACCAGCCCCGCTGTTAGGCGCGCGTGCGCGGGGGCGGACGGGGGTGGGTCAAAGGGTGGCGTTGGTGCCGCGGGAACGGGGTGCCTAGGTCGCGCCCATTTCCCGGTCGGGCCAGCACGCCTGCACCTGCCGGGCGGCGCGGCGCCCACAGCTCCGTGCCGATGGCCGCGGCCAGCCGCCTGTTCCGCCACTCCCCACCCGAGCAGCCACGCCTCCGCGATTGTTTCATCGCGAGAGTGCGGAGGCTGGCTGTCGTCCAGGGGTGCGGTCGGCCGTAGCAGGTGTAGACCAGCGGCTGGTAGGTGATGTTCTGCCGCGCCAGAACGCCGTACTCGACCTTGCGCCGGTACATGGTGGCCGCGCAGTCTGGGCCGGCCGCCGCAGCGTCGGGCGAGGCGATGCCCACGTCGAGGGCCAGGAGGCCATTGCCGAGGGCGCCGGTCAGCACGTCGGCAGGTCGGAGGCGCGTGCCTGGCACCAGGCCCGGGGCCTCGAGTTCTGCGCCAGGGTCGCAGACTGTGGCCGCGGCGTGCACCCGGCGCGCAACCGCGTGGTGCCCCCGTGTAAACTCCGCCCGGCAGCAGCAGAGGGCGTGTGACCCCGCCCGGTCGAGAATCGCATGGCCGCAGAGGCCGCACGGGACCGGGTCCAGCGGCCCGGCGGCGCCGACGCGGAGGCGCAAGGCCTCGGTGAAATCGGGGTTGTCCATCACGGGCCCCTTGTGCTTCGAGAGGTTCCAGGGCCAGGAGTGGTCGCAGTCGGGGTGCTCGAGGTCGTCGAGCCGCCGCAGCGCTGCGTCGTCCCCGGCGTCCGCGTGCCGCTTGCGAAGGTCGTGTCGCCCCTGCTCGTCGAGGTAGCGAAGTAGAGCCCGCTGCAGGTGCAGCTGTCGCGTGCGGGGGGCGGCGCCGGGGTGCTCGTTGTCCCCGTCCTCGTCGAGCGGAAGCAGGTTGCGGCCGATGCCCCGGGGGCGGCCTCGGCGCTCCTGCGGCGCAGCGGCGGGCGCCTCCGCTTGCTGGTCGAAAGGGGCGGCCCACCGACCCTCGGCTTCCGCGGCGGCCTCCGAGAGCGCGGCCACGACGAGGCCGCCGACTGTGGGCGGCAGGCTGAGGACAAGGCGGGCCGCGGCGTCGTCCGTGCGCCTGTCGTACTCTGCCATGATGACCCCTTGTTCGCCCAGGCCTCTCTCTGTGAGGTGCGTGGCCATTTCCCGCACGTGGGGCCTCGAGCACACGCGGCTGGCCACGAAGGCCGCGAGAGACACCTGCGAGGCGGTCCGCATGCCTAGGCCTCCCGTGCCCACGCCGAGCGCGCACTGCTCCCACACCACGTCGGGTAAGTCGCCGCCCGCGACGAGCTGCACGGCTTCGCGGAGGTCGTTGTCGAACTGTTGCAGGTGCTCGTCCTTAACCCTATCCCCGTTAAGCCGTAGCTGGTAGGAGAGCTTCGACACGTCGGCGCAGAGCCTCGTGAGCACCAGCTCCGTCGCGGCGTGCCCCACCTCTAGCAGGGCCAGACGCGTGTCGCGGGCCTTGGTCAGCACGGCCCTGAACTGGTCATCGAGAGCATCGGGGCTGCCGAAGGGAGCGCCGAGTGCCAGGGTGGGTCCGTCCGGGGCCAGCACGTTGCAGGTGGTCCGAACGTAGTCCGTGTCCCAGCCGTCGTAGTGGTGCCTCTCGCCGTCAGGGCAGAGGAGGCGGCAGGAGCTTTTGGCTGTGCCGGCAGCCACAGTCCCGCGGGTGCCGCCGAAGACCGCGAGAGTGGCATCGAGGCTGCGCAGGAAGGAGTCCAGCGCGCGCGGGCGGACAAAAATTTGGCCGTCGTCGATAAACCACTGCTCGCAGAAGCCCGGGGCGGCGGCCCCAGCAGCGGGCGGGCCAGTGTGGGGGGCGCGAGCGGCAGCGAGCGTGTGGCCGGCCTGCACTGTGCCGAAGCCGTCGCACTGTTCGGCGCCGCGGTCCGTGGTGAAGGTCTCGCCGGAGGGTAGGAGCGTTTCAGACGGCTCTTGCTGGTGCCAGGAGGTCCAAGCCGCGATCTCAGGGAATTCTGCGGGGTCTATCGAAGACCGCGTAGCGTCCCACTCCACGCTGCCGAACATGTTAACGAGGTCCACGTCCAGCGCCACTACGGCGGACATGGCGCCCCGGGCGGCCAGCTCCTCCACCGTTCCACGCCAGTGCGCCATGGCCTCACAGGCGCCCGGAACGCCCACGCCCCACTGGTGGGCGGCGCGGAAGCGGGCGCGGAGAGCAGGGAGGTGTCGTTTGGTGAAGCGCTTGGCAAAGCTCGTGCGTATGACTTCGCCCATCTTGATGGGCCTCGGTTTGCCATTGCGCTTCCTCTGCCACATAAGCCGCGTGCGGGTGATCCAGCGCATGGGCGCCTGCAGCTCGCCACCCCGCATGGCCGTGTGTAGCCGCCCCAAGGCCCGCCGAAGGGCGGCTGCTTCGCGCTGCCGTGGCACGGAGAATAGCTCGGTGAGGTGCTCCGGCCGCGCGCCAGAGGGTCCAGGGGCGGTGAGCTTGCTCCATCGCACGCCATCGAGGGGCCCGCCGTCGGCCGAGGCGTCGTCGGGGTTGCCCTCCTGCTCGGCGCCGTCGGCCGGGCGGTCGCCAGGGGGGCCGGACGCCGATGCTCCGGAAGGCTGCTGCGGCCCGCTCAGCGCCGCGTCAGGCCGCCCTGTGCGCGCCCCTCCGCTCCTCTTCCCGCCTCCCGCCCTGTCGGCGCCGCTCCGCTCCGCTCCGCTTCTCCTCCTCCTCCTCCTCCTCCCTCCTCCTCCTCCTCCTCCTCCTCCTCCTCCTCCTCTTCCTCCTCCTCCTCCTCCTCCTCACCCCCCTCCGCATCTTTTTTTTGTTTGCTGGCAGCAGCGCCTCATGCATCTCGAAGACCACAGAGCCAGAGGGGAATTGCAGCACAGTGTACAACAACCGGTGTACCTCCGCTCATCCTCCTCATCCTCCTCTTCCTCTTTATCCTTCTCCTCCTCCTCTCATTCCCCCATCCTGCCTCGCCAGAACTTCCTTGGAACATCACGTATACGCGCCGCCCAAAAACGGGGGACCGTTCCTGCAGATTTGACTCAGCCGTTTGAACCGAGCTGTAGTCTCCGAGGCTCAAGCATCGAGTTGTCTGTCCGCCTGCTTGGATGGAAAGGTTGTTTTCACCGACGGGTCAGGCCTGAACGGCCACTTCTCAACCTTGAGGTCGACAGGCCAGGCTTGTGTGTTTTATGCGGCGGACGGCTCCTTCCTGGGAGCCATCTACGGCGTAACCGCCCCATCGAGCTCGGAGTGGCCAACGCGGCTCTGGACCGCGAGGACTCGGCTAGGTTGCCCACGCATGTGCTGGGGGCCTCTCTTGTCCCAGCCCACTGTAGAGCCATTGTGTCGTGTTGCTAAGCGTGGATCCTCTTGTGCAGAAGCCCCAGAAACCTGGAAGATGTCCTGGTCCTCGCCACCCAGGCTTGCATGTTTCGGGCTCGCTTGCTCCCACGTGCATCCTGTCTGAATCAACGCATGACCACCTGAGCATGCATGCCATGCAGATGGTGGGTCTAGGTTTCTTTCCGCCCGGCCAGTGTCCCCGAGGTCTTGCCATTTGACCCCGTGACACACCCCCTCTGTCTGCTTCCCTCTCCCTGCCTGCTGTTGCTGAGGGGGTGGCGGACGCCCATGGGGGCGCGGGTGTCGAGGAGGCTGAGCATGTTGGGTTCGAACTCGGGTCTCAAAAAGGCCACGGGAGTGTCGGAGCCCCTTGATCTTAGAAGCGGGTGTCCTCGGAGTTGACTTGTTTTTTTGCGCGACTTGCTACACTTATCCGCAGACAGAGAGGCATGTGCGATCCTTGCACGGGG